GCGGTGTGGTGATGGGGCGGCGGGGAGGTGGGGCGATGGGACGGGGCGGCGGGGCGAGGTGGCGGGGCGGAACGGTGGTCGAGGGCGGCGGAGCGGGTGGTGAAGAGGAGACCGAGAGAGAGAGAGGGGTGGGGGCGCGGGCGCGGACCCTTTTCTGCTAGTAGGTCACAGTTTTTGTCGTCTGCTAGCAGACGGCAAAGAGCGTGCCTAGTGGGGTGGGGCCGGGGGAAAACGGACGACCTAACGGCCGTTTTCTTTGCCGTGTGCTAGCGGACGGCAATGAAGTTTTGCCGTCAGCGAGCAGACGGCAAAGAAAATGACCGTAAGGTCGTCCCTGTACGCCCGCCACCCATGCTCTTTGTCGTCCGCTAGCAGATGAGAAAGCTTCTTTGCCGTCTGCTGGCGGACGACAAAGATATGCTGATGGAAAATCCTTCCGTTGCCGTCCGCTGTCTCTTTGCCGTCCGTTTTCTGGTGGCTGATGGAAAAGCCTTTGTTTGCCGTCCGCTAGCTGACGGCAAAGAATCGGCAAACGGCAAATCTGCTAATTCCAGTAGTGTTGAGTGTGCGCAGGCCCAAAACCGATGGACCAGCGTCTCCTCCCTCCCGCACGCCGTGCAAAAGATGCCATGTTTAATCCGTCGGCGATGTAGCTCTGACCCAGTGGCCAGGCCATTAGACATGAGCCTCCAGGCATGGATTTTCATCTTATTCGGAACATTCGAACCCCAAAGAGCAAGCCAATTCCTGTGAGTATGAACAGATGATGATCCCTCCGGCCATCCGGATTTTGCTCTCCTCAAATTCATCGCCAAGTGGATCAGAACGGACCGTAAACTCACCATTCTTTGTAAAGTTCCAGCCTAAGAAATCCTGCACCTCCATGCCACCGACCATAATTTGCTTAATGTCCGTTTCACCACCTTCAGAGGAAATGGCATCCACAGCAGTATAATCCCACCCGTTGCCATGCTGGTTCAATAAATCTGCCACTCGAGTAATGCCCTGGATGAACTCTTGGCCCAGTGGCCGCAAGGACCCCTTCTGGGGAATCCAGTTATCATGGTGAATGAGGATTTTTGTGCCATCACCTACTCGCCACACCAGACCTTCCTTCACCAAGCCACGACCATGCAGAATACTCCGGAAAGTAAAGGAACCATTCGAAGGGCAAGTAGCTTGCATAATCGAAGAATCCTAAAAATACCAAGTCTGGAGAACCCTTGCTGCCAAGGAGTCAGGAACTTGTAGGATCCTCCAGGCTTGCTTCGCTAACAGAGCCTGGTTGAATGCTTCATAATTTCTGAAACCCATTCCACCTTCCCTCTTTGACAAGCACATTTTATCCCAAGCTATCCAATGCACTTTGTTACCACCATGAATTGAACCCCACCAAAAGTTTGAAGAGACAAAAGTCAGGTTCCGACACATTTTCTTAGAGAGTTGAAAACAACTCATGGTGAATGTTGGAGTAGCTTGTAATCCTGATTTAGCAAGGACCTCTTTGGCCGCCTTCGAGAGCCCTTGCCCCTTTCAGCCCAGCACTTTGTCATGTGAGCTTTCCTTGACATGTTTAAAGGTATCATCCTTCGATCTACCAACCACCATGGAAAACCCCAAATATTTCTCACTGAGAGCTTCGGAGTTAATGCCAATAGTACCTTTTAGCATATTCTTGTTAACCTCAGTGCTATCCTTTTCAAAAAAGATAGATGACTTTTGCAAATGAACCCTTTGCCCAGATGCATGCTCATACACTTGTGTTTTCTGATAACCTAGCCTTCAATATAGTGATTTTTGTAATTAACTCTCTCCATGAAGTCAATGTGAGGTGGGACGAGACGTCCTCGACGATGCCAAATAGATTCGCCTAAAGGACATACTTATAGTGTCAAAAAAATGTCTTATATGAGACGGGAAGTAGATAAAGTCGCCAAAGTTCAAAATGAAAATGAAAACGTTGGAAAAGCGCAAAAGCAAATCGCCTCGGCCTCTCTCCACCCGTTGGCCACAGGAACTGTTACCCAACCTTATCTCGCAGCTCGCGCCACCGCCGTCCACCGCCATGCCGCTCCTCCCGCCGGCGGCGCCGCCGCTGCCGCTCTCCTCTCACCGCCTGGGCCTCCCCTTTCTCACACTCCCCTCGCCCGCCGGCCGCCCCCTCCGCCGCGGGGACCTCGCCATCCGCATGGGCGGCGGGCCGCGCACGTTCCCGGGCGGCGTCTCCAAGTGGCAGTGGAAGCGCATGCAGGCCCGGAAGGCGAAGCAGCTCCTCAAGGCCCGCCTCGCCCGCGAGCGCCAGCTCTACGAGATGCGCAAGCGCGCCGAGCTCCGCGACGCCGTCGTCCACCTCGAGCGGCCCTGGGACCCCGACTCGGCCCCCGTCTCCGCCGCCGCGCTGGCGCCCAACCTCCTCTCCGTCGCCGCCGACGACCAGCTCAGGGGCCTCGCCGACCGCTTCCACCGCCCCGGCGGCGTCGACCTCTGGAACGACCGCGACGGGCCCCAGGTCTTCGCGTCCCCGGACACGGGCTTGGCCTCCGCGCGCTTCTTCCCCAGGGACGCCGTCCACAGCGTCCAGCCCTACGCCCGCCTCGGCGCCGGCGCCAGAGCCGAGGGCGCGCAAGGTGTTCGGCAGAATGACGCTGTGGAGGACGCTGTGGAGGACGCGTATGGTTACAGCGAGCCTGCGGTCCAGCTGATGGAAAGAGATGGGATGTGGGAGCCGGTGATTGCTTTGGAAGGTGGAGATGGAAACAATTCGAGCCACAGGAGTTGGACTCATGATGATGATGATGCTATTTCTGATTCAGACGACGAAGAGGATGTTGATTTTGGACACCAACGACAGGCAATGGTAAGACGAGATGGAAGAAGGGATGGTGAAACTGCAAGCACTATGCGTGTTGGAAGCGAGAGGGGCAGGCATTGGAGAGGTCATGGTTCCTTTTCAGATTCAGAAAGCAGAAGAAAAGGTCATCCTGATCAAAGATGGTCAGACAGAAGTAGTGGGAGTAGAAGGAAACCTCCCGACGCAAGATGGAAGCCTTGGAACGGCGAGGGCGGTAACGCCATTGGGAAGGACCGAACAGGTGGCGGTTCTTTCTCGGACTCAGAGGTGAGCCACCGTGGTTCTGAGCCAAAATCAAGGGCAAGGAATAGAGAGGACACAATGGACGCCGTGGTGAAGTGGAAACTCTCGTACGATAGCCATGGCAATGTGGTAAGAAAGGTTCGCGTTGGTGGTGAATTTGATTCAAATTCAGACAGTGGAAGGGGCGACAGAATGGAACCAAAATGGGGAGCCCCGAATAGGTCTAGTCCAAGTGAGAACCGAAGAGGTCGAGCAGGGCTGAAATATAGGCCTAATGCCAAAAGTGGCGAAAGGCCAGGAGGATACACGAGGGGTCACAATGGTGATGAAAGGGATCAATTTGGTAACGGCTTTGCCTCGGACTTGGAGGAGCCGACATGGAACCCAAGAAAAAAGAACGAAGCTAGGAACAGCAATGGCAGCAGAGAGTACAACAGTGATATGAAAAGTAGATTCAGGAGCGGTGGAAGCGGGGCTGCAAGACGGATAGACAGTACTCGTCCTGTGATGAACGCCGACAGAGAAGATGGAGGAGGGCGGCGGTCGAGGGGAGATGGATACTCGCTACGACCAACATCGGAATTGCACAGCTCGATGGACCGGAATGGGGGACGGTAGTTCAGAGGAGACGGATACTCGCTCCGACCAAAATCAGAACTTAGATAAGATGTACTGTATGTTAAGAGTAAAGCTAATGTAGTCTGTGTGTGTGCTAACTACTGTATGACCAGACGTTCAAATATAACATACTTGTACTGAGGATTTGCTTCGTTCAGCTCGTGCGATTTGCTATTCTCGCTGAGTGAGTGCCTATCAAAGAATGCCAGGAACTTGTCCATACTACATCTCCAGTTTTTTTTGCCAAATGGTAAATTAACTTCTACGCACCACATGAATATCCTTCTGCAACTACACATTATATGTTCTTCCCTACTAATTTTATCTGGCTATCGTGTTCTTCTTCTTGCTGCAGATTTGGGTTCAGCCGGAACATCCGAAGCAGCTCACAGCTATATTCAGAAACCTGATGAATGTGTATCTATCTGATATCTTTTCTGAGTCCAATGAGGACCATGTTTATCCTTGAAGCTGTAGCATCCCTGCAGAATTTTGGAGTATGGCATGTTGCTTTCTCTTCTTTCAATTTATTCAGAGGCTGTGACTCATTCTAGTATGGCATGTTTCCAAAATATTCGGCATCAACAACATACCATACTGCATCTCCAGTTTTTCTGCCAAATGTTAAGTTAACTTGCACGCACCACATGAATTTCTTCTGCATTTACACATCATATGTTCTTCCCTACTAATTTTATCTGCCCATCGTGTTTTTCTTCTTGCTGCAGATATGGATTTAGCCGGAACAGCCGAAGCAGCTCACTGCTATATTCAGAAACTTGCTGAATGTGTATCTTTCCTGTGTGATCTGATCTGGACCCAGTTTACCCTTGAAACTGCACTGTCCCTGTAGAATTTTGGATTATGGCTTGTTACCTTCTCTTCTTTTAATTTATTCAGAATTTCAGAGGCTGTGACTTATTCTAGTATGTCCTGTTTCCAAAATATTCAGACATCAACAACATACCAGGAAGTTGATCTGATTTTAATCACTCAGCAAACTCTAATCTATCACAGTTATTAGAAGTAGTGCTGTAATTTCATATGAATCCTATAAGAATAATCACGTGTTGTATTTTACCTAAGATTTACTCCCTCTGTCCGGAAATACTTGTCGCACAAATAGATAAAATTAGATGTATCTAGAACAGAAATACGTCTAGATACATCCATTTCCCCGACAAGTATTTCCGGACGGAGGGAGTAGTTCATTGCTAATTCCTCCAAACACTCTACAGGGTCCTAAACCTATATTTGATTGAAATTGTTGGTACATTGTCCTGCATGGATCTGGTGGCAAGATTAATTGACATGTGGTATTTATTTTCTACTCCCTCCGTTCCTAAATATTTGTCTTTCTATAGATTTCATCAAGTGACTACATACGGAGCAAAATGAGTGAATCTACACTTTAAAATATGTTTACATACATCCGTATGTTGTGTCCATTTGAAATGCCTAGAAAGACAAATATTTGGGAACAGAGGGAGTATGTCCTTGCATGAATTTCTCTCGACCTCGACATTCATGTCTCAGAACCCCTGAGGATAGTGCCTAGAAGACCAACTTGGTGTGGGAGCCATCCAAGGATTTAAAGCACCTGAACTTGAAGTTGCTCTGGATGTTGTCCGGGTTCGAGGAGGAAGACAAGGTGACAACCTATATAAGGCCTGTCATGGAACGAGCTGTGGGGTTGAAGAAAATCGAGCTGCAAGGTTACCGTCCATGCAGGGGCTACATTGCCACCGACCCTAACAGAAAATCCCTGGTGGATGAAGCTAGCAGGCATCGGATTAAGGAGCGACTCGAGCATGGATCCTCCTCATCCGTGGACATAATATCTGTTGACAGGTATGGTCAAGGAATGTAAGTTTCAGAACGTCCGCAGCTGCTAGATCGACGACTGTGTGCAGTCAGTTATAATTTTAATTTTCAGTTATCGATAGGCCGAGAGTACTTGATTGGTCTGAACCTCACAATGTAGCTAGATTATGTGTGTGCTGCAATCTGGGATCATGGTTTTCTCTTTCAATTTACCTAGTCTGTGGACATAATAATCTGTTGACACTTGACAGGTATGGTTAAGGAATGTAAGTTTCAGAACGCCGGCAGCTGCTAGATCGACGACTGTGTGCACTCGGTTATAATTTTAATTTTCAGTTATCAATAGGCCGAGAGTACTTGATTGGTCTGAACCTCACAACGTAGGTAGATTATATGTGTACTCCAATCTGGGATCATAATTTTCTCTTTCAATTTACCAAGTAATTTCCTACCTACTGTATGCTGATTTGTTTACCTGCTGTCTTGTTGAGGCTCTCTCTTTTCAGAATATCAACCAGCAATCTGTCTGAAAACTGTGCAGATTAATTCAGGTCTGCTTCTTTATATCTGACTGGAAGCCTGTCGCATTGCTCCTTTTGAAAATGGTAGCAGGTCTTTGGCCACAGTTTGGTCCAACATATTGTTACATATAGCGTCAGTCGAACTACTATTCCCAACATGCCAACATGCATTCAGCCAGAGATAACATGCCAACATATATTCAGCCAGATGATTGCCCAAGAATAATACAGTGCATCCGAATCTGCATTTCACCACCGGACCGCCATCACAAACTCCATTATTAAAGCTCAAAGGATCAATAATATATGAATCGACTAAAGTCGTGTAAAAAGGACGTATCAAGAAATGAATCATGTAGAAGAGCTTGTGCGATAGTATCTCATCTGGTTCTCTCAAAGGAACTCTGAGAATTCTCCAGCAGGAACATACTAGTCTTTTATTCCATCATATGCTGTTACATGGTATACCGGCGTTTTTGATAAAATAAAATCAAGAGGACAGCTCAACCCAACAAACATCAGTTAAGAGCATCTACAACAGCATTCCCAAATTTTCTTAGAATACCCAAAAACAGAAAATACGGGTATTTTGGCTAAAAACGTATCTCTAGCAAAATACTCAAATGTGCATGGGTACCTATATTTTGCTATCAAATAACCGAAAAATGGGTATTCCCACCCAGAGTACCCCAAAAGACCCAAAACGTGGCAGGAAGTGCCAACTACCCGAGCGGAAGTTTCATGCACGAGATGCCACCCCACTCCCCGACTCATTTAAACATTTGAAATAAAATTTGTAGAAGAAGTGTATCCTAAATACACCATGCAAACACTAAATTGGTTATATCTGTTGGTTAGATATTTGCACCTTATAAGTTATTTTTACCTTAACCCGTCACTACACTGCTAAAAAAAAGGCAATTTTTCGACTAATTTAATCCATAAGTAGATAACTAGCATGACATTGACAGAAGTAACAACATACTGGTACTGATCTAAACAAGCATGTACTACGCAAATAGTAGACAAATCTACGCATGATGCTACCACTGCTAATACAGAAATTATCAGGAGAGGGATAAATGCGGTATACCCTCCAGTAGGCCATGCAGAAGCCGCCGCCGCGGTGGCAGCAGCAGCAGAAGCGTCCTCGGCGGCCTTCTTGTCGGCCTCGGTCTTCTCGGCGGCGGCGCGTTCGGCGTAGCTGGACATGGTGATGACGCAGACGTAGAGGAAGTAGTGGATCGGAGGTGAGCAGTCATGTAGTCGCTTCCCAAAAACCTATTCTTCTCTCTCCCGTACATGAACCAGAGTGACGGAGTTTCGGAGACTTGCTCTCCCGTCGACCGTGTACGCGGCGGACGGGATGGAGTCACCGGCGACACGGGACGAAGTCTTCAATCTTGTATCTTCATAGTCTTGGAGTCCGGCCGATGATGATAGTCCGGCTATCCGGACACCCCCTAGTCCAGGACTCCCACAGTAGCCCCTGAACCAGGCTTCAATGATGACGAGTCCGGCGCGCATATTGTCTTCGGTGTTGCAAGGCGGGTTCCTTCTCCGAATAGTTTATAGAAGATTGTGAACACCAGGATAGTGTCCGGCTCTGCAAAATAAATTCCACGTACCACCGTAGAGAGAATAATATTTACACAAGTTCAATCTGCTGACGTATTTCGCGGCGTGACGTCACACTACAACCAGGCCTTTACTCGAATCGTTTTTGTTGTACCACCTCAGCGCGTTTAGCAAAGCGGTTCCTTGGCACGTCTTGTCGAAGCAGAGATCGTGTTCCCCTTATTCCGGGATTCCCATCAATACGGACGTGGGTAACCCAACCGCGCCATTAATTGCGGCGCTTGGGAGATAAGCGAGTTTTATCAGGCCGGTGGGGACACATGTTTTTGTCCGCCCATTTAAGGGGATAAAGATCCAACCCTTTTACCTGCGCCTTCTTCCTCGGCTTATCCATCTCCGCGAACTCGAGCTCCAGCGCCCAAGTCCGCACATCTCACCTCAACCTTCTCCAACTATGTCCGGAGCGGGAGGCAAGTGGATGGCCTCCTCCGTTACGGAGGGGCACATCCAGAGGCCGCGCAGCGCCGGATATCTGTCCAGCAACATCGCGCACCGGCTCCCCGACGAGGGAGAGCTCATCCCCACTCCCAGGCCCCATGAGAGGGTAGGATTTCTTCCCCATTTCCTCCACGGACTGGGCTTCCACTCCATCCCTTTGTCCGGGGGCTCATGTTCTACTACGGCCTAGATTTCCATGATCTGGCCCCGAATTTCATCCTCAACATTTCGGCGTTTATCGTCGTGTGTGAGGCTTTCCTCTGCATCCAGCCCCACTTGGGCTTGTGGCTCAAGACCTTCAGTATCAAGCCGAAGGTTGTGAAGGGCAGCCAAGAGGAATGCGGAGGCGCCATGGTGGGCAAGATGCCCAACGTCACTTGGCTTGAGGGCACTTTCGTGGACTCCATTAAGGGATGGCAATCGGGGTGGTTCTACATCACCGAGCCGCGTGACCTTGAATGGGCAGCGGCCCCCGAATTCAGATCTGGCATCCCCATACGGCTCACCTCCTGGAAAGAGAGCGGCCGGACATGGGGTGATTCGGAGGAGCTGACCGGACTCCAAGCCTGCATCAAAAAG